GACCAACCGCTTTGCGAAGCGGTACATTGACGCGAATTTGGAGACCATGGCACCTCGTGATCTGCCTCAAAGCTGGCAGCCTGTGACGGTTGCTAAGATGAAAATGTGCATGGCTGTGTATCTGACTATGTTGATACCGTTGATACTCTAAGTCTGTTAGCATTTTTCGAGCTCCGGAGTATTGGAGCCCAGCCAGCAGCAGGAAGTATCGATGCCTCCAGTCTTTACTGGATAATGGCATCTAAACTTGGAGGGTGAAGGATCTACTGACTCTGGGCGGGAGCCGTGGAGGGGCCTTCCCCCTAGTGAGCTCCGAAGGCAAACCGCCTCATTTCAGCAAATCAAACAAGTAAGCGTACGAGACTACATTGAAGCTTTGGAGCATGAAGGGTTTGGGGACATACTACCCGTCCAGCTGTGGAGCACAGGGACGTGTAATGTATCCATTGATAGCTCCGAGGCCATTCTGAAATTGGCCACAAACGAGATTCTGGTTCGTGGGAAACGAATTTTCCCCATCCCTGTGGAAAGCCCTACTCTGCAGTTGCACACCCACGACACATCTGTCTGGGTGGCAGACTCCGCCATCACCACCGTTCTTGCAAAGTACGGTACAACTCTGGGGCCTGTACGGCACGGCCGTTTGAGCAGCCGTAAATGTTTTGCTTCGATGAAGAGAGACAGGTGGATGAGCATCCTAACCGCAGTGCATATGCATGCCTGTTTGTTTAGGATGGACTCCCGGATCACCAGAGTCGTCACAACGGTACGGTACACGTACACAGACAATGTGGTGGTGGGCGACAATGGAGTCCGATTGAATTTGGTGCGTATAAAGACCACCAAACAGCAATGGTTTAGCGACGGCCACTCGACGGTGACGACACGTCGCACAAAAAATATAGCGTCCAAAACCCTCAAGATGTGGATCAACTAGTGGCAGCGCCTGGACAGCATGAGAACTCCGCGTGAGTGCGTGTGCGGGTGTGTGTGCCACCGTTACTCATGCATGATGCACTCCATGCAAACACTCGCATGCACCACAACAACCAAACGCCTAATGTTCCTGCATTTCTCCAACAATAATGACCCTGCGACATCTAGTGACAAGCTTTGCAAAGTGCACCTGCTCATTGACCTGTTTGTCAGCCGTTTTTAAGAGGTGTACACCCCTAGTAAAAAAGAATTCAATAGATGAGGAGCTGGTGGCATGGAAGGGGAGATTCGGCTTCCGACAGTATATACCGTCGAAGAGAGGGTGCTTTGGAATAAAGGTATATGCTCTTTGTGAGGATAGTGGATACATGCATAGTTTCCTTGTGTATGTTGGAAAGGACCAGACCATGTTCACTGCCGACGTGGTCAAGGAGCTTGGTGTATCTGGTGCTGTGGTTGCGAAGCTGATGCCGCCGCTTGAGAGCCAAGGATACCACCTCTACGTGGATAACTGGTACTTGAGCATGCCATTAGCCAACTACCTGGTGCAACACCAGATTGCTGTCTGTGGCACTGTCCGCAAGAACCAAGTCGGTCTGCCGAAACGTCTCACTGGCTACAAGCAGCTCAAGAAAGGCGAATATACATACCGCAGCTCACAAGGCGTTCTGGTCGTAAAACTTCAAGATACCAAGGAAGTGATGTTCATGACCACTCTACAAAAGGTGAACGTCACTTCGACAGGAAAGCGAGACAAGGATGGCAAAGCTGCCAAAAAGCTTCAGCTAGTGGTTGACTACAACTGGCACATTGGTGGTATCGACCACAATGACGCCAAGCTATCCTTTTAGACTGCGCACGAAAAGCCGCAAAGTGGTATAAAAAAATAGCCACACACGTAATCGAGGAGGGAGTGCTGAATGCATATGTCTTGTACAGACAGGCTGGCGACAAGAAAAAGCACTACGATTTCATTCGCACTGCCATGAAAGAGCTGCTTGCTGAAGGAATCCAGGAGCGATGTCAGAAGCTCTGCGCAGTTTGCTGGGCACGAGGAGTGCGTAAAGATCGTCGTCATTGCTGCCTCCAGTGTCAAGGGCAACCTGGATTGTGTGCTGCTCCTTGTTTTAGCATTTATCACACTCAGTATAATTATGGACAGCATTAGTACTGGTGTGGAGTGGAGTTGCAGCTATTCAATCTTAGTGTATGTGATTTGAACGGAACTATACGCAGTTTCGAAATTGTAGTGTAAGTACAAGTAGTTCACAATATGGGCCATCCAAAGCAAAAACAGGCCTAAGGGGTCAAATTTTGGAAAATTGTTTTTTGATTGGAATTTGTATATGGATATAGTCAAGTGGTGTGCTTCACTGTCCGAAGAGTGCTCAATGCCCATGTAGAGCAGAGCCTTGTACACAAGAGAGAGTTTGGAAGCTTTGCTACAACTCTGAGTTTCACGTATTACTACGATCATCAGGCAACTGATGGATCCAAAACGGGCAGCCAAAACATAAGGGGGAGCAAGGTGGGAAATTCTGAGATTGCCTGGGCCGACAAGACCCGCTCCCTCAACAAGAGGTCAGAGCTTAGAAGCTAGAGATTGCCTGGGCCGACAAGACCCGCTCCCTCAACAAGAGGTCAGAGCTTAGAAGCTAGAGATTGCCTGGGCCTAGGACCCGCTCCCTCAACAAGAGGTCAGAGCTTAGAAGCTAGAGATTGCCTGGGCCGACAAGACCCGCTCCCTCAACAAGAGGTCAGAGCTTGTGTCCAAGTGTCGTCATGAAAACAAGTTCTACCTCTGTAACTTTGCCCGCAAGGTCAAGTGAATCTAGCTGGTAGTCCCGCTGCCTAGTGTGTGTGTGTGTGTGTGTGTGTGTGTGCGTGCGTGCGTGCGTGTGTGTGTGTACCCATATGGTGCAGTGGTATGTGCAGTCGATTTCCAATCGAGAGGTTGCGGGTTCAATTCCCGACGATTATGGTCGCACACGTCTTTCTTCTCTTTCTCGGTCTTTTCCTGACTTTTCTTTCATTCTCCTGCGTGGTTACCAACAGCCAGTGTATGCCGGAGTATGTGGTGTGGTGTGTGTGTAGAAAAAAAAGAAAAAAGAAAAAAATGGAAAAATGGAAAATAGGGATTCACTGGCCAGAAAAAGTCACTTCAATTAGCTGTGTGGTGGATACCAGGCTAAAAATAGTGGCGGTCAATTCATCAGCCTTGCAAGCTGTTGAATGGTGTAATCCCAGCACAAGTTGCTATGTCTAACATAGCTGTTCGCTATCATCGCTTCCGCGATGGGCAGGTCTGAGGTCTGAGTGTGTGTGTGTGTGAGTGTGTGTGTGAGTGTGTGTGTGAGTGTGTGTGTGTGTGTGTGTGTGTGTGTTTGTGTGCATGCGTGAGAAAGAGAGTGCGTGTGGGTGATTGGATAAGTGCGGGTGCAAGTATGTGTGCGGTAGGTGTGGGAATGAAAGGATGAGTATTGTGGCCGTGTGTGTGTGTGTGTGTGTGTGTGTGTGTGTGTGTGTGTGTGTGAGAGAGAGAGAGAGAGGGAGAGAGAGAGAGAGAATGTTTGTGTGAGATTTGGAGAATGTGTGTGTGTATGTAAGATTTAGAGAATGTGTGTGTGAGATTTGGAGAGTGTGTGTGTGTATGTGTGTGTGTGTGTGTGTGTGTGTGTGATATAGAGAATGAATGTGTGTGTGCGTGAGAGAGAGAGATTTAGAGAATGTGTGTGTGGACGCGCGTGTGAGTGTATGTGTATGTGAGAAAAGGGAGAGAGTGTGGGTGTATGTTTGTGTAGTGGTGTGGGAATGTGTGGATTTGGCATTTGTCCCCAGCTCTATTCTATATCATTCACGTCGGAACTACTGCTGCACAGCCCCAAGTCTGAAGACTTGGCAACTTCACGCCTTCACCGGACTCTTGCGCTATGATATGCGTCGCCTATGACACCCTCAGAATTTCCCAAGATTGCTCCCCCTTATGTTTTGGCTGCCCGTTTTGGATCCATCAGTTGCCTGATGATCGTAGTAATACGTGAAACTCAGAGTTGTAACAAAGCTTCCAAACTCTCTCTTGTGTTTATATGGATATAGTGAACCTCTGTACAAAATTTCAGACTGATACGACACATTAATCATGCTTAAAATCACTTTATTATGTCTTGGGGTCCATATTCTACTATCGCAAACAGTATTTTCATCTTTCACTGTCGTTTGTTCCACATACACGATGTTTTCTAAGCCCAGGTTGCTTCTTTGCCTTGGCTAAGATAGGGCAGTACTTCCTTGTTGAGGTAGGAGCAGCGCTGTTGTCACGATCCACTGGGCGCAAGGATTGCAGGGCGACCAGCTGGAACGCCAGCATTGGTTTCAATAAGTTTTTCTTAAATTCAGGACCATCGCTGATCTCGCGCACCCACACTGTTCCCACATTGCACATACTAGCGAGGTCAGACGCGTGACCAGTTCACGGACTTCGCTTGTCGCGCTTGGCCCATCCCCGGCCCATAGAAAATCGATGATGTTAATGGCACATAGGTTTTTACTCGATTTTTCGATTTTTACGGGAGGCATCAAAACTGACCTGCGTTTGAACTTCGCTTGTGCAGTCTCCTTGCTCTTTTTGGGCAATTTCAAGTTTCTAGTCCTTTGGTAAGGATATGGAGCAATGCCTCCACCCGTTCGCGCGGCGTCCAGACGTTTCTCTGTCGACGCGCTGTCTCTCGCTTTTTGCCAATATTCGAGGGCGGGTTTCGGTCCTTGCGCCTCTTGTTACGCCTTAGGTTGTTGCTGCATCGTGTTCAGCGCCCCCTAATCCTTCGGACTGCCAAGTTTCATTGGCGTAACAAGAGGCGCACCGACGTTATGGCTCCCGACTGGTGTCACTGTCCAGCAAGGAGGATTGCTTTGGGAAGGCATGTGCACCAATCTAAAAAGCAACAGAAGCAAGCGAATCGCCATCAATCCGATTAAACTTCGCTTGCGTCTGGTGTGCAGCATTTTGTATCTATTCAGAAGCTTGTTGGTGATGAAGGTAAGGAGATGGCTACTTCAGTCCCGGTCCCAGGTACTGTTTCGGAAAGCTATGTCTTTCTTGCAAAGTTTTGTCCAATTGTATGCATCATTTCAGAAATGGAAACTATTTCCAATGCTGTCAGTGTTACTCAATCAAGGCAACACTACAAATAGTTGTCAGCCAAACATAACCTGTGTGAGAGAGAAAGTGAGGAACGTTCACTTTCACACAGACAATGTCTCTAACAAAGTCTCTCTACTGTACTACTCCAGAACAAACAATACGTTCGAGCACAATTATGTTTTCAAATTCCTGATCGTCTGCAGAAACTTGTCTTGAGAAAGCGCTTCTTCCGACATCATCCATCAACAGCAGCCACCGCTCCCGTTGCCACCAACTCGTCATTAGATCCCAAATATCTTACCATCACCGGTTCACAGCAAATAGTACATGCACTGGCGATCCTTGAAGACAATTGCACATTTCCCTTCTCTGCAGAGGAACAAACATTTTCTCTTCAGAAAGTAATAGTTTTCGGCTCGAGTGCTGCACGCAGCGGTGCCACTAGCATAGCGAAGTACACGCACGTGACACGCGAGATTACATCATGCACTCTCCGTCGCGACTTGGGACCCGAGTGCCGGGTGCCATTTTTCGAGCTCCCACGCGTACATTCGTCGCGACAAAAAAATCACGTAGTCGGGCTCCTTTCAACACCCATAACTCTCTTCCAGTTGCTCTAACCCAGCCCAAATTTTAGATTTGAACGCCTGAAGCTCTAAGCTTTCCGTAGATACCCAATTCGATAGGGTTTTCCAAAATTTAATTTTCGCCTGACCTCGCTACACATACATCTGTTTGCGGCTTTATAAACTCCACATCAGAGCACCGATTGACCCAAGTCCTTCTGAAAACTACTTCATAGGACACTGCATCATCTTACTCACACTCTGCAGAACACTTGTACACAAGGAGCTTGGACAGTGATGCTGGCAGGTACCGGTAGGTTGGGGCTACTCCTGCTCTGCCCCCGTGGTGCAGCTGGCTGTGGCATCCCATGGACGGATGCATACTTCCTAATGAAGGTCACAACACGCTCAGCAACATCCGCAGGAGTCACATTCACAGGAGTCACATTCACAGGCGATTTGCCAGCCAAGCCATGCAAGGGTGGTTCTGCTTTTGCATCTCCCACAATGCCCTGTAGCGACTTCAGCATATAAGGACTGAGACCAAACACATCGAGTGCCACAGACTGACAAACCTGAGATCCCATGGCCCAGCAGTGAATACGAATAGTGGTGTCGCGCGGAGCCAGGTTCAGAGCGAAGCGCAGTTGTCAGTAGCTGCTTCGCGCTGAACATAAGCTCTTCCAGCAGCTTGGGCGACAGCGATTCGTAGTAGTTCTTGCCCTTACAGCTGCAGCCGTATGATTTCAGGTCTCGAATATCTGCAGCGATTAGGGCACGCTCTTGATCTGCTGATCCCTGCCCTGTCGCGCCGGCGCCGTCATCGCTGTCGGAAGCAGCGGAAAGTTCGCTGTGTACAGTACAGTACAGACTCACTGGAATCGCCGCTGAGGGCTTCTCCGTAGTTGACGCGTTTTTTCTGTAACTTGATGCTGCTATCACTGTCAGATGAGCCATCCGAGTGTTCCTCCGCGGCAACTGCCTGCTGTATTTGACCCTCAGCGGAGCTCGACTCGCCTGACTCGGAAATTTGATAGTAGCTTGCGTCAAGTGGTTCAAGTGCATTTCGCTCTTCCGCAGCCAGCCCAATGGGCTCCAAACTGCGATGACGACTCATTCTGCATGTGCACTACACTCGATCCAACTATCTTGTGAGCTTTTCTCAAGATCGTCTTCTTCAAAAGCTAGTCGCCCACTCGCTTTCTTGTCGACGACAAGGATGTAGTCGAAACAAAACAATCTGATCACTTCCAAGCCGCGCAGGCGCGCACGCTTTTCCAAAAAGTTACGTCACCTTTGAAACGTCATAACTTGATAATTGATATTAGGTCGTTTTCTGCTTTGGACGGCCCATATTGCATTTTCCGTAAAAGTGCCTCCACTATTATTGGCCATAACTTTGTTTTGTTGGTTTTCATAAACAAAAACAGTTTTGAGCCAGGTATATGTCCAAGAACGATTTGCAACACAGTTCAAAGCCATATCAGGATTTTTGAAATTTTAGCCAATTTTGCCTCCGCTACAGGCGTTTTGTGTTGTTCAACAGGTTACCGTAATGTCGCGTGCATAAGCCGGATTTGTGCATAAGCCTGTCTCGTGTAGAAGCATGAAATCTGCAACAGCTTTTCGCGTACAAGCCTGTCGCATGCATAAGCCGGGCCAGTACACGAGACGCGCCACGTGTCGCGTGCGTAAGCCGGGCTACTACGCAAGACTGGTGAGCATGTTCTTTATCATCGTACTCCACACCTCATGACCTGAAAAGGAGTTGAACTCTACTGTGAAGCTGCTGGTGTTTGATGAGTTGGCTTGTTCGTTTGTGTGTGTGTGTGTGTGTGTGTGTGTGTGTGTGTGTGTGTGTGTGTGTGTGTGTGTGTGTGTGTGTGTGTGTGTGTGTGAGAGAGAGAGAGAGAGAGAGAGAGAGAGAGAGAGAGAGAGAGAGAGAGAGAGAGAGAGAGAGAGAGAGAGAGAGAGAGAGAGAGAGAAAGGAGAGGGGGGACGCGGTTCAGGGAGCGAAAAAAAGAGAAAAAAAATCCCGTTGGAAAATGTTGGTTTTGACGTCCAAAAGTCAGCAGTTTGCGCATACAAGCCTGGTCATTGAGTGGTGCTTGTCATATAAGCCTGTCTCGTGTATAAGCCTGTCTTGTGTACAAGCCTGACTCCATCACCGGCTTATAGGCATATAAGCCCCGGCTAATGCACGCGACATTACGGTAACACAGTTAGGTGCAATCGGCATTCTGCCCATCAAACAGTGCGTCCAAAGTGCACACACTGAAAATACGGCGTCACTAGCACCTTTCCATATTAGTGCATATGGCCACAGCCAGCTAAAACAGGTCTTAGAGTGAAACTTTTCGGAAAAAATCCAGAAAATTGTCACTTTGCTTGCCAGCTGCTTGAACTAGCCTGCCAAAACAAGTCACTTAGTGTGAGAACGAAGTTAGACAAGATGCTATCGCCACCGGATGACGAATGAAGCACAGTATCAGATGCGCTCGACAGCTCCGTCACGTCTCAAAAATATTCCGAAACCCCAAAGACATGTTTTAGCTGACCTCGGCCCATATCGTGTCCCTTTGTTATTTGTATCTGTAGCACAGTCTTTTCCTTACTCATATCCACAATTCATTCATTCTCATGTAATTTTGCTCGTTGAATTTATTCATCTGTAGCTCTGCACGGATCATTGGCTGCTGTCCATCCCTACAGATACACTACTACTCAGTATATTAATAAGGCAGCCACCAGTACACCTCAGCTCAAGCATCCAAGTATTGAACAAATTTCAATTGCGAATACCTCAAAAACAATGTGGGGGTATGGACAAACAATGCGGACGAACAACATTTGACTGCCGTGACATTACGTAATTGAGTATGTATACAATAATTTGCATGGGAGAGTTCTGAGCTCAAACTTACATGTTGTATGTAGTCTTGTGGTGCTAAACTGAACATTGGAACACTGGCACCACCGCCTTCTGAGGAGGAGTCTCCCATTGAGGACCACACCTAACAACACCAACACCATCACCACCACCAACAACAACAGCACACCACGATTACCATGACCCCACGACCACGACCACCACCACCAACATGACACGAATATACAGAAAAGGCAAAGTTACGTTAAAAGTACGATAAATACATGTAGAGTAAAAGCTCAGAAATCCGATAAGAAGAAATGGATGTCATCCCTAAGGAAACTACAGCAAAAGCCCAGAGATCCAACTACCTTTCCGACCGAGCAAAGTGTTCCCATTTCCGATATGGCCTGATGCATTTCATATGTGCACAGATGGGGTCTGCAAAAGTGAGGTGGTCGGACACCGAGGTTCCTCTGCATTGCAGGATAGATTCAATGTTCCTGACCTGCAAAAGGGCCGGACTCAAGGGCAAAGCATGCTGCAAATCAGCAGTCTTGTCTTTCAACGATCACCACACGGCACAACATACGAGTTATCACAAACATGTAGCGTACGCAGTGCGTTCTGTGCTGTATCCATCTTGTCATACTCGGGGTGGACTTGAAATTGATCCCACACCAGCGGTACCCAAGGCTGTCCAGGAATGAAATACTGTGAGGTGAGTTCCTTTGAATATATTTCAAGTGCATTGCCTGAAGTCCTTGCTGCTGCTGCTGCTTAAATCTCTAGTAAGACATTCTGGTTGGTACATAACCCAGCCGACAACAGCCAACTCAATATTGTCGAGTCTGACGATGTCAGGCATAACTGCCGCAAGATCCACGGCGGCTCCAGGCATAGAGCGTGTACATGTCCGTCGTCACTGCTGCTACCCTACATGGCACTGCTGCTACCCTACATGGCACTGCTGCTACCCTACATGGCACTGCTGCTACCCTACATGGCACTGCTCAACTAATAGCCTATCAGTGGCTAATCCTGATCACCGATTGCCAGCGTTTCCCATGAGCGCGGTTGGAGTACGACTGTCAGTTATGAATGCAAGGCGCCCAGCAACCGGGCATGAAGCGCCTGGAACACGTGGCAAAATAGTGCTCAATTAACGCTCACTGCCGGTCAGTCCATCTAGGAGCGGGGTTGTATCCTTTTCGTCCCCCAATCCCACTTCCCTAAGCCAGCAACACATGCCTCTAGCACACACACGAACCACGACCAAGAAATCTCCCCAATGTCTCCACTAAACTCACTCAAGTTACTTACCGCCAGATTGGCCACGTCCGCCAGTCTCATCCTCAGCTGTGACATGATGACGTCATATGCGTACAGGTGGGCTTTCTCGTTCAGCTGCAGAATGTGATGGCGACTGGTTGGCAGCAGTGCACCCGTACTGCTGGCCGATGTCACTGCGGTCAAACACAGTGCACAAACAACAACAACACAACACCACGTTACAAAACCTGGCGCCGGTGCATTGTTTGGTACTGTTCTAGTATAAGGTGATGAACAGCTTTTCAAAACTGTATGATTTATGTGTCTGTTTTCACTACAATCATTCTCTAGTTCTGTAGGTCATGTATGGTATCACTCATGCGTGAAATCATGTGATCATCAACCCTGTTTTTCCCGGGCTTGTGCTCCTGTGCACGAGACGTATGCTTCAGATGTATGGCCTTTTTCCCGCTGCACGGCATCTCACGTGCAGAGTTTTTCCGCGTGCAGTGCTCTAGCAGCTTTGGTTTTGTTGTTTTGCTTTCTCCTTGTTTTGAAAAGAGTTCATGGTGAACAGTGGTTGAATCCAATTCTAAGTTTCTTCTCAGTTTTAGCAGTGTCTTATGTTTGATATTCTTAGTGCATACAGTCTTCCAGAGAAAGAAAACAAACATACTGGTCCTTCGAGCCGGATCTTCAGGATGGACGAGCAGAGTGCCATACCTGGACAGCGAGTCAGTTCAAGATCAACGAAGGGCAAGCTGCCCAAGCGATTTATTTCCTCCGACGCAGACGTCGGAAACCTAACACAGCGAAGACATGATGAGAGAGGTGTAAGGACTAGTGCATCCGAAAGAAGAATAGCCAAGGAAGTCGAGAGACTACAGGCGGAGTTGGACAAGGAAGCAGAAGTGGCGAAGTTGCGACAAGAGTCGATCGCCATCCAACTCGATCTAATGAAGAAGGCAAGCACGGTGGAGAGGGCGAAGTCTGAGTTTCGTCGCCGCTCTTCCGCATCTGCTTACAGTGAGAACAGCAGCGAAGATAGAAGTGTCTACTCACCTTCCGATTTGGACCGACCAGTGGTCGGCACAGGACGTGGGTCTACACCACAGTCAGCTGATGGACTGGTCGAACCGACAGCCACAGTTACAGACGCAGCATATGCGTCGGGTGATGTTGAGGCAAACCCGGTGGAGATGGTGCTTGGGCAATCGCCAATAGTGCCACCCAGTGTTACTGGTTCAGCAAGTTCAGATGCTGATGACGACGAAACAGAGGTGGTTAGTTGCAGCTCCGACTACAGCAGAAGGCTGCCTCTGTGGTATGTTAGAGAACTAAGGAACAGAAAGTCGAACTCAGAACTGGCAGGGGACCAGCAGCAGCAGCAGCAACAACATGTCAGCAGATCCACACAGCAGTTTGTTGTCAGGAATCCAGGCAGACTACAGCCAACAACTACCCTGTCAAGGGCAGTAAGGACACCAGCACACCCAGTGAGCAGCAGACCAGTGCCAGCAGTGGATGCTGCTGTTCCGTCACCACCTGCTACTATCAGTGCAGTAGGCAGTAGCACCACCAGTGGAGCATCAGCAACTAGGCCGCATGGTGTGGACGGTCTCAGCGCACAGCGCGCCGTAGCCGCATCCAGCGCAGCGCCAACTCAACGCTCTGGCTTCGTGAGCCAGGCGTTCGCACCAATGACAGCACTTACAGCAGCCGCCCCTCCGTTTGTGCCGAAGCCCAGCGTGACGGTGCACGGAGCAGCTACCAGTAGTCAGCCGACAATCTCGCGTGAGGTCAGACCCGGCCTGACATACACCAGCACACCGGCGTATCCATATCAGCCTATGCCTGTACCACAGTACATGGTTTCAACAGCAGCACCCCAGTACCCGAGTAGCCAAGCACAAGCAGTGCCAGCCCACCAAATCGGACAGCATCAGGGTGCCCCGACAGTGACGCCGGCCTACCGCCCGAGTGGCCACCTCAAGGCACTGAAGCTGCCCATGTTTGATGGCAATGAAGACAATTACGTGAGATGGCGGCAGAAATTCATGGGACTGGTCGGCGCAGATCCGAATGTCACAGAATACTACAAGATGGCACGCCTGAGGGAGGCTCTCGCGGGTGGCTGTGCTGAGGAGCTGATAGAAGACGTCATGGACGGGCCGGGGGCCTATCAGGCAGCCATGCAGGAGATCGAGGCCTGGTATGGTGGTGAGGATCGTCAGATCGAGCGGCACGAGCAGGAAATCATTACGTGGCCGAAGATCACTACCATGAAAGACACTGAGAAGATAAAGAAGTTCGCATTGAAGCTGCGGAGTGTCCTGGTGAACATGAGGTCATGTGGTATAACCCCTGGCCGAGAGCTCTATCTCGCTGCAACGGAGAAAGTCCCGTCGTCAATGCTGCTCAAGTACTTTGAGAAGTATGATGACCAGAAATGCGATGTACAATCATTCGCGGACTGGCTGCTTCACGTCGTGCACATGATGCGGAAGGTGGACGAGCGCCAGCGCAACAGCTACAAGAGCCAAGCAGTGTCATCCAGCAGCAGTTCGGACAAGCGCCAGGCTGCTGCAGAAAGACAATCCGCTTGTGGCAGTCAGAGGACCAAATTGTCAGAGCGCCGTCAACACTACACTCTGACAACAGCCGCCGAGAGCAGCGAGCGGAAGTCAGCCGGTACTCCGAAGAGCTGCATCAAGTGCGGTAAGCAGCATCAACTTGCAGACTGCCATGAGTTCGCGAAGATGTCAGTTGCTGAACGCTGGAGCTTCGTGAAGCCCCTCAACATCTGCATCTGTTGCCTGAGACCGGCTAAGCATCGATCGGCAGAGTGTCGCAACAAGCCCTGCGACATGTGTGGGCGGAAGCACCACAGAATGTTACACTCGGAGAGAAAGCCCAGCGAACAGGCGCCGGTAGTTAAGGCACAAACCGCCGAAGGTGACAAAGCGGGTGCACATTCGTCTGCTGCCGTCAATGTCGGAGCCAGCTGCTTCGCGAGTGACAGTCTCTCCCAGTCTCAGCACGTATCGTTCATGACAGTGCCGGTGACAGTGAAGAATGGTCCTCACGTCGTCGAGGCTACCGCACTGCTAGATTCGGCATCATCCGTCAGCTTCATCAGAGAAGACCTGGCCAAGCAGCTGAGTTACAGCGGAGATGTCGAAACACTGACGACTACCGTACTAGGTGGCAAGACCATCCGAGGTGACCGTGAGAGAGTAGCGGTTACTATCACCCGACAGGGAGGCGACGAAGAGTCTGCATTCTCTGCCTTCGTCCTTCCAACAGTGACTGGTGCCATCAAGCCTGTCGACTGGAACGCGCAGAAACAGAACTGGACGCACCTGAGCGACATCAGGTTCCCAAGGCACCAGCAGCATGCTCAGGTGGACATCCTCATTGGACTCAATGCGGCACAGCTTCACACGTCCCTGGAGGAACGGCATGGCAAGCCTGGTGACCCGCTAGCTCGGTTGACACCACTCGGGTGGGTGTGTTACGGCGCAACTGACAACTCCTATGACCAGCCCGAGATGACATGTGTTGGTGCATCTCTCGTCGGGTCTACGCAGGACCTGAGACTAGATGAACTTGTCAACAGCTTCTGGGAGTTGGAGAAGGTCGGCATGGGTGAGACATACTCAACACCTGATGAGCAACGGGCAGAACAGCTAGTGACCGAGTCGATTCAACACGATGGATCGCGTTTTGAGATGGGCATCCCGTGGAGTGCGACGAGCGGGATTCCGAGCCTCGAGTCCAACGCAAAGCAGGCTGAGCAGCGGCTTCAGTCGTTGGAGCGCTCGCTCGCCAAACGACCGGCTGTGTACGAGGCATACCGGAACGTGCTGTCAACCTACATGACGAAGCACTACATCGAAGAAGTTGAGCCCACCACAGCGGCAGAGGACGGAAGTGATCAATGGTATCTTCCCCACTTCCCAGTCGTGAGAAATGATCGCGTGACCACCAAGGTGAGAGTCGTCTTCGATGCGTCCGTCAACTGGGGAGGTACGTCTATGAACGAGGAGATGTATGCTGGCAGAAAGACACAGAACAATATTGTTCACGTCCTGCTTCGCTTCTGCCTGGAGCCGGTGGCCCTGGTCGGCGATATATCAGAGATGTTTCTGCAGATCCAGCTACGTCAACAAGACCGCAAGTACCACCGCTTCTTGTGGCGGCACGACCCGCAGCACGAGCCGAAGGTGTACCAGTTCAACCGCATCGTCTTTGGTGTAAAAGCGTCACCGTACCTGGCGGGTAGAGCTCTCGAGGAGACCTCCAACAAGTTTGGCCATCTCTACTCAGCTGACGTATCGGCCGCGGTCCACGATGACACTTACGTAGATGACCTACTCCATTCGTGTGCTGATGATGACACAGCCAAGCGTGTGCGCCTCGAGGTGAAGTCACTACTCCATGATGGTGGATTCAACATCCGCAAGTGGCTGTCCAATTCTGCAGCAGTAATGGCCGATGTTCCAGAGGAGGATCGTGCGCCAGGAGCTGTTGCCGAGGTGGGTGATCACAGTCACAGCACGCTGCCATCCACGAAGACTCTAGGTGTCACCTGGAATGCTGAGTCCGACAAGTTCCTCTTCGTCTTCTCCGGCTGCGCAGCTGAGCAGATGACCAAGAGGACAGTCCTGAAGGAGATGTCCACAGTATTCGACCCGCGAGGACAGATCTGCCCGTTCACGATTCGCTCGCGGATGATGTTCCAGCAGCTATGCATCAAAGGGTATGGCTGGGACGATCAACTGGACGAGCATGATGCCAAGGCTTGGACGCAATGGTTCTCGGAGCTACCCTCACTCTCAGCAGTCCAAGTCGACCGGTGTTTCAAGGTGGCCACTCTCGACCCCTCCACTGCTGAGATCCAAGTGCACACGTTCACCGACGCATCTGATGGAGCGTACGCTGCTGCTACGTACATACGGTGCCAGTATCCAGACGGAACGGTGAAGACGACGCTAGCCCTGGCGAAGGCGAGACCATCTCCAATCCGCAAGCTCTCCATCCCAAAGTTGGAGCTGAAGGCAGCGGTCCTCGGCACGAAGCTGAGCCTCGAGGTGGAGAAAGCACTCAACCTGCCAGTCCGAGACCATGTATTCTGGACGGACAGTATGAACGTGCTGTATTGGGTCAGATCTCACAGCCGGAAGTTTCAGACCGACATCGGGAACAAAATCTCC